TACCATTTTCACTCCAGAAAATTGAAAGCACCTTGACTCTTTTTAGGGGAAAAGCTAGGTGAAATGTGGTTGTGTTCATCTGATTGGCCACTTACTCCCCACCTTGGTGCTTTCATGAAACATTTGCACACCTGAAGAAATCCCTTTATCCTTGTGGTATTATATAAATTAATGATTAACAGGAGAAACATTTGTTTTTGAATATTCCACAAATGAGAACCCCAAATAGTGGTATTTGGCTTGGAATTAGATCAGATATTATGGTTTAACCTCACAGCAAAATTTCCAGGACTGGGCTTTCCTCACACCAAGAGGGCTTTTCGTATACCAAGGAGAGGAAGAGGTGAAGTCAGAAAATCAAGAGGCCAAAAACTTCAGGTACATTATGCATGAAAGTTTTTAAATGCCTGAAAAAAAACTAAGTTGTTTTAGTGCCAACACCTTCAGAATTTATCCAGAATTCCTAAAGGTGACTAATAATTTAGTTTAAGGTTTTTTTTTAATGAGTCCTATGGTTGCATATTACTTTGCTCTTGGAAAAAAAAAATCTGTTTCTAAGTTTAATAGTTCTATTTTAGCTCTCAATTTCACATTTACATGACAGAGAAAAATATTCTAACCCCGTGATTTATGATGTGCTACTGAATAAGCATTTATGTATAACTGATGTTTCAAAGAGAACCAACTCTAACTGGAATTTGCAACTATGGCGATTTGCAGATCTACCTCTGTCTTGCATTTTGCATCATATCAATGCCCTAATATAATTAGTTTGATCATTTTTGTCTTATCATTCAGTGTCCAGAATTACAGCTTATTCACCATGGGGTAAACATTTGGAAATAATGACTAAAACTTGGCTAAATGTAGTTAAAACCATTGTGGAAGGGAGCTGTAAAGTGAAAAAAGTCAAGACCCATCTGAATGGAAAAGTTCAATACTGTTTTTTAAACTGCTGCAATTCCTTTAAGAATAAGGAAACTTTTTCTTTTTTTAATTATGTCTAATTGTAGTTGCTGGATGGAGAGCAACTGCCAGTACTACTGAGGTTTATGTGAGCATACCATAGACTTAACAGTTTCTCCTGTTGTGGGAGAAGGCCTTTCCTCCACTCTCTTAGATTCAGTTTTGGGGGGCCAGTGAAATAAAGTGACAAAGGACAGATTAGCAAGAGAAAGGGCAGGTTCTTATTTACCTACATAAATGAGAGTTCAGAAAAAAAGTGTGACTTGAAGCAGAATTTGGGGTTTATATACAATCTTAATAAGAGATGGGGCATTCAGAAGAAAAATAATAACTTTTAAGAAAGATAAATGGGCCCTTAGGAGAATAGATGGGAGATATGATAGTTCTGTGGAAATGTCTTTTCAGATGTGGCACTGAAACTCCCAGGGGAGAGGATTTATGACAGTTGAGTTCTTTAGGGAAGTTCTGCCTTTAGGCTGATAAAAGGAGCTCAGAAAAAAACCCTCTTGCATCTGTTGATTCTCAAATGCATTCAGCTCAAAATATTTTTTTTTAATGCCACAGTTGTGTATTCTGGATCCCTTTATTTCCCCTGTCTAAAACTTTCCAAGAAGTTTCACAAACCAGAAGCCAATATGGTGGCTGTGGAGAGAAGATTCAGGTTAGAAATTAGGAGATAAGAGATCTGCACAGGGCAGGAAGACATAGATTTATGGTGAAACAAGAGGAAGAGTAGAAATTAATAGTTGGACCAGATTACAAACTCAGTTTTCGAGTGCAGAGGGCAGTCAATCAGGATTTCTAGATGTTAGTCTCCACTTTGAACAGTGGAATAGGATGGTAGTGGCAGTCTCATACACATAGTTATTTCCCAGAGCTCAGAGGACCGTGTTCTGGTGAACTTCCTCAGTGGCCCAAACAGTTGGCGGTGGTAAACCCCTTAAAGTTACATCAAACTGTCAAGCTCCAGCTTGGAGGGCCTCAGGAAAGGGAAAGTTTTAGTTCTTAGTGATGCCAAGTCAGGA